TCATGAAGGAGCTCCAGATGGAAACTATTGTTTTGTGTTTGCCTTATGATTAAAGTTGTTGCACGTCCACTGGTTCCAACCTCTGAATGAGCGAGTTTTAGCTTCTTCTACTTAAGATAGGTTTCAGAAAAAACAAAACTCCAGCGAAGATACATGATACAAAGGAACATAATATAACCTAATGCTAGATAGCATTTCGGAAGTGTTATTGCAGAGCAACACAAACAGCATACAGAAGTATAAATGCACTGCTACGCGCAAGGCATGTATTGTGAGTCACGGCGATCACTTGACGCAGAAGTATAATTACAGTACAATACAATGCATCAATTAAACGCCTAATTCAGATTAAATGGAATGTATAAAACATCAATTTATAAAAATGTACACATATTAAAATTTTAAATGTCTTTGTAGCCCCATTGTTAGGTCACTTGTTAGCAACTGCCTTTTTAAGACAAGAAACTCATTAGATCATTAGTGAAATTGCTAATGTTTGTTTATGTTATAGAACCAAGGGTGAAGATTCACTGTTGACATTGGTGGAGACATACATCCCTATAGCGCATGCATACAACAGCACAGATTCTCTTTCATGCTTTAAAAAACATGAATAAAGGCTTTAAACACTTAATAATTTTAAGTAATTTAGAGAGGCACGTGACACAATTTAACCGTTTTATCCCAATTATTATTTTTCATAATCATGAAAGCCAAAATTGAAACTGAATTTCGATTAATTGCACAGCCTTGGTTAATATTATTATGGTGGACTCCAAGCAAACTTGACTTTAAAAACTTGACACTTTAAAAAGTTGCGACTTATGTCCACGTCTGGTACAGTAAAGGAGGACTGGCAAAAAAATCCTTGTTTTAGTGCTTCTTTCATTCAAATGTAATAACAGCTGTCATTAACAGCATAAATAGGCGCAGCTAATCACATTATCCTTATGTGTTTTGTGGAAGGGAGGATCCGAGAAGAGAACGTGCTTTAACCCTGCATGCTAGGTTATTAAGGGTTAATGGAGCATTATTTTATTGTGAAGGTGATTAAATTATTGGTGAGGACATTTCAGTAATTGCTGGATATTGATGGGGACACATCCCTTCTTTCCATGCCAAATCTACGCCCTTGTATAGAACAAAATATGAATATATCGTGTTAACTACAGACTTTATATCAAGCCTTTAATCAAAAGTAATTTCAAATATCCATTCAAAAATCCAATGACTTCAGGACAATGGAGACAGAAGTGCTAAAATGTGAACTTGTTTTTAGCTTTAGGCTACTAAAAACCTTAAAAATAAACAAATATACAATTAATGAGCTTTAAAATATCTTCATAAAGGTTTGGCGTGACGTGAGGTTGAGTAAATTAAGCATTTTTTGCTTTTTAGTGTTCTATTCTTTTCATTAAGAAATCCAAAAGCATTCTACAAAAACCTGAGATTGGGATCAGACGGTTTGTGTTTGTTGGAGCCCTCGGGACAAAACAAACCCCGTGGGCCCCCCTGAACGTGATGAAACACATCATCAGGGACACATTTGTCTGTTTTTCAGCAGCGAGGCAGGAAGCACGTCTGGAGGATGCGCTTAAAAAGGACAAACTTGTGCGGAAGAGTTAATCACTTCTAAATAAAACAACAGGTCATACGGGACGAGATGGCTTTACCCCTCCTCCTTCCTCTGTGGAGATGGATGGGGAGCCAGGAATTAAACGCACAGAGCGTTTTCCAACTCACACCCTCTCATCCCTCTTGTTTGTACGGTGGATCTGTTTAACTAATTTCCGCGTGACTGCATTGGCCCGGTGCATTGTGGGTTTATCAGCAGAGAGCAGTCACAGGGGTGTGGACATGAAGACGGATCACTGCTGGCAACCCAACAGGAGGGTCAAAGGGTTGAGATATCTCACAACTGCAATTAGTGGCGTTTATGTGAAGCTGTCAGAAGGGTGATAACATATGCTTGCTGAAACAAGACATGCCATGAATATTAAACTCACCCTTTTACACTATGAAAAAGCCAACCAGTTATGGTTCACCTTAGGGCTGTGAAATACGATGATATACATTGTATGGACAAAATATTGTTTTATAGTATGCCAACACAATCTCAAGGCAATTCGTAACCTTTTGATTTAGTGGCTAATTTGTATGAATGCGTACGTTTTCATTTGTACAATTTAGTACGATTTGCTTATCCTCCAATGACGGTTGGGTTTAGGGGTGGCATGAGCCTCCTTTTTAAATTTGTACATTTCATATGACTGAACTCGTACAAATTTTTACTAATTAGCCACTGACAAAATGCAAAATAGTAGCGTTTCCTCATACGATCAGGCTGATTATGCTGTATCGTTTATTTCTTGAGTCACAAAGTACGTTGTTTATGGTAAAACGTTTTCTCCATTTATATGAGCACAATATTACACGCCATTTAAAATAGTACGGCCTTTACATTTTGCATTTTATTTAGCAATATTTTTCAAAGTTGGATCTGTGATCATTTGTTTTGAAAAGTGGTTTATATTTTCGATTTACACATTTTTAATTAAACATTTGTAATTAAGTTCTAAATCGGGCTACACAATATATAATTTAGCAACGATATCGCAATTTGCGAATCTGCAATAGTCACATCGACAATAGAAATTTGCAATGTCAAACTGGTACCACAATTAACCAGAAAACACAGTTCAGAACATGCAATTTGTAGAGTCATTGCAAAGTTTAGTTGTAATTTAATAATATGAAAGACTTTTATTTAGATTATGTTTGTGATTTCATGAGAATTTAAACCCCGTTTGCCGCTTTCATAAAGATTAATAGTGTTTAGTTTTTTAATGCAATAGAATAAAAACTGGTCAATGTTATTTTACATTTGATTAAAGCATTTCTGTACTTTAACACTGTTAAATTCCAACTGAAAACCATAATGTACTGCTTAGTTATTTTTTTCTATCTTTGTCCTATTGTTTTCATCTGTGTGTTTTTTTTTTTTGTTTTTTTGCTGAATTTTTGAATATTTTTGCAGATACACTCAACTATAAATCATTCCAATCAGTATAAAATACAGAAATCTTTCCAAATAGAGACATCTTGTAAATTTTCTTTCTTATCACAATTAGGCATAGGACAATAACAGCTTTTAAGGTATAAAGCGGTTTGGAAATGATTTATTTTTACGCTTTTTTTGTTTAGTTTTTTGGACAATGGTATCTCCAGCTGAAAAAGTGTCCAAAGATGCCATTTTAAATTGTAAAGAAATCAGTATTTTTGAAACTAATGAATTATTTAGCCTGACATGTTTACTGCTCCAAAATATTTTAATGTTTCTCAAAATAAAATATATTGGCTGTGTCCAAAATCACCTACTACTCAGTAGTTAATGCATTTGAATTTAAACATACTACTAACTTGACCAATAAAACAGTATGTTCTGTATAGTATGAATGTAGTGTGATGGCGTCGAATGTAGCATGCCATCCAGGTACTTCTCGCATTTTCAAATTTTATGAATTCAGACATTCTACTCCGCTCGCATACTATTTTTAGCATACTATGTAGAATGGAAGTATGTGATTTCGGACACAGCTATTGTGTTTAAAGCGGAAAAAAGTTTTTGTTTTTACCCAGACTATTAAAACGAATATATTCACAATACCATAAAACCCTGATATTTTATCGAAGGTTATCATACCGTTAAAATCTTAAAGCGGCCCATACCTAATCACAATATTTATCGCAGAAAAACAAAACATTGCAATGTCATTTTTCAAAATCGTGCAGCCCTAGTTATAAATAATGTAAAAAAAAAACACATATGAATGAGTACAAATATGAGTATTGTATATACTTTACATTGTAAGAAAAAATAGTTCTTTCCATGTGGTTAATATATTTAAACTAATAACTGATGAATATATGTATATTTTGGTATCAGGCAGGATATGAGATGACTTATATCATGATATGAGATTTTTGTCATGTCGGTCAGCCTTGGTTAATCTATATTATTGTATAACTGCAGGTTACCATGTGTGTATATGTATATATACGGTCCACCCTATACACAACGTCTGAAATCTGTCTGAATGGATTGTAATGTATTAACATGCACCTTTTAAGCAACATTGGTATGATAATTATTGTGAAAAGCACAACTTGGATTGAACTGAACATTGGGGTTCTTATATTTTAACATTAAAATACTGTTCACCTATAGGCTAAATGTGGGAGAAACTCTTTTTAATTATGTTTCAAGAAGGGCGGACGGTCTTAATAAATAAACCACTCCATCTTCCGGTCTCTAGGGACTGTTTGCTTTTACTCACAACCAATCATTGATTTTGTCCTCTATTGAGACCCTTTGGGAACGAGGCAACTGCATTCAAGGTGACCTTTTTAATAAAGCCATAATGAAAATACAATTGAGATAATCATGGATGAGATGCTCACAGGGGGCTCTTGGACTGGGCTTTGTAGCATGCACAAAGCACACTGCTCTCTGGCAACATTTAAGACGTTAGTGCATCACAATCTGGTGTGGATAGTGCAGAAATGATGCCATGCACGATTATCTGTCTTGCTGTATTAAGAAATCTAAAGATTGCACAATCAGCTCAAGACATTCTTGCCAAAATGTCCTTTGTCACAGCAGGCTTTTTGACAAGTATGTCTGGTTGGATTGGCTGTGTTGACATCCAGAAAAAGATCAGTGGTTTATTAATTGTTAATAAAACGTGTTGTTATGTACAAATCACAGAAAATTTTATGCAAATCCAAGTCATAAATTCCCTTGTGGATCAAACACATGCACTGATTTTAAAGCAGTTGAAAGGATGTTAACTCGAGAAGGAAGAAAAATGCATTGTTTTACATTATGTGATGTATTATGAAAAACTGATATCAGACATAATAAAACACACTTGCACACATTCTGTTGTTGGATCATACATATTGTTGATCATGATTTTTGCACTTGAAGAATGTCTTACCGAGTCTTCGCGATGACATTCTCTGCTCTCCTGCTGCTCAACTTGGGCTCTTTGCGGATTAGTTTCGGTGGTTTCTGTGGCTCCTCGTTGGTTTGTTTCGCACCTTTCAGAAGGACAATGTCCTCGAAATTACCGAATGATGGAAAATGTTTTTCTTTCGCAACTTCTTTCAGCGGCGGCTCGTCCGCAGCGTTCCCCCCGAAAAAGTACAAAAGTAGAAAAACTCCGAAGCACACCGCGATGGCCACAACCTTGCAGTGAATCCTCATGGTGAAAAAGTGCTCCGTCCGCGGTGGGGTGTTTTAACCATGGCTCTGGTTAAAACAAGGGGACATATTTGTAGTGTGCAGCCATACTTCTTCATTTGTACTGTGTGTGATGATGAAGACGATGCTGCTCAGCTTAGCGCCGATCTCTCTCACGTAAATGAATCTCTGAAGGCGGACCTTACTCTCCTTACCGTAATACTTGTAATGCACTCCAGCGCAATGAAAGTACAAAATAAATGGTATATCCATTCATTCATTTTCTTTTGGCTTAGTTCCTTTATTCATCAGGGGTCACCACAGCGGAATGAACCTCCAACTATTCCAGCATATGTTTTACGCAATGGATGCCCTTCCAGCTGCAACCCAATACTGAGAAACACCCATACACTAACATTCACACTCATACACTACAGTCAATTCAGTTTATTCAGTTCACCCATATTGCATGGGGGGAAATTGGAGCACCCAAAAGAAACCAATGTGGGGAGAACATGCAAACTCCACACAGAAGTGCCAAATGACCCAGCCGAGACTCAAACCAGCGACCTTCTTGCTGTGAGGCAACAGTGCTAACCACTGAGCCAAACAAATGGTATATCTTATTAAAACTGCTTTGTTACAGTTATTAAGTATATTATTTTGCTGTCAGGAGGATATTTTTTTTTATATTATGACTATAATGTTATTCATTGTGATGTTATCTTTATTTTATTTTTAATCTTTTTATTAGTCTTTTGTGTGACAAAATTAATTATTGTGAGGTAAACAGTAAGTTATTGTCCACTGTTAATCACATCCCCTAACCCCTCATTCATTAACCCAATTAACAAAACAAGAAAAATAAATATAAAAATGCATAAATACCAAATGAAGTACATTAACACTTAACAATAATATCAGAGAATAACTGCATACAGATGGAAAAAAAGGAATGAATTAATTAATAATAATAGCCTAAGTAAAAACAAAACTTCCTTCCAACAAAATGACTAATGTTACAAGTTGTTAGTATGCGGTGTAAACTTTAATTATAATATGCATTTACTGTATCTCATCAAACCTTGCAAAACCAGAATTTTTTTTTTAAATTGCATTTCTTAATGTATAATTGTCTTTTTTTGTTTGTTTTGTTTATATCTATATTCATCTTATTCCTCCTATTTCTGCTTATTTACTGTAGTGCCGTTTTTTATGCTTTTTTAAATTAGATTTTAAACTGCATTGCAATATATTTAAAGGGATAGTTAAAAAACTTAGGTCATCCATGTGGAGTTAGTTTGAAATTCATTCATTCATTCATTCATTTTCTGTTTGGCTTAGTCCCTTTATTAATCTGGGGTCACCACAGCGGAATGAACTGCCAACCCATCCAGCATATGTTTTACACAGAACATGTAAACTCCACGCAGAAAATACCAACTGACCCAGCCTGGGTTCGAACCAGCGACAATATAATAAATAAATAAAATAAATACCAAATGAAGTACACTTAACCATAATATCAGAGAATAACTGCATACAGACGAAAAAAAATTCACCATTAATTAATGAATTAATAATAATAATAAGTAAAAAAATATCCCTTCTAACAAACTGACTAATGTTACAAGTCGCAAGTATGATAAGTAATCTTTAACAAAAATATGCCTTTTATTGTGTCTTATAAAACCTTGCAAATCAGAAATTAATTTAAAATGGCATTTTTTAGTGTATAATTGTCTTTTTAGTTTTATTTACATCTATATTCAACTTTTTGTTTATTTACTGTAGCCTGCTTGTAAAATTTATTTTGCAGCATACAGGGACAAATAAAGTAAAATAACTAACATATTGGATGACCTGAGTTTTTTTAACCAATATGGGGTTATTTTAAAAAATGTATTAATGTTTATATAGTTTTCCTGTAGCCCTAAATGTATTTTTGACCCTTTAAAGGGATAGTTCATAATAAATGAATATTCTGTTATGATTTACTTCCCTCATCCTGCTTTTTTTTTAGTTGTGAAGGGGACAGTTTACTGTCAATGAGCGTCGTCTTTCGGATGAGACGTAAAACCAAGGTCCTGACTCTCTGTGATCATTAAAAATCCCATAGCACTTCTTTTAAAGAGTAGGGGTGTAACCTACATCCAGATTCTCTCCACTGGCCCTTACCCAACATGGCCTCCCAATCATCTCCATCTACTGAGTTGGCTCTATCACTGTCTCTTTACTCCTCTTATAGTTGGTGTGTGGTGACCGCACTGGTGTAATTGTCCGGGGGCTACCATCACATCATCCAAATACATTTATAAAAGTTTAGAACCACATGCAGGTGAGTAAATAGTAATTGAATTTTCATTTTGGGGTGAACATTCCCTTAAGGCTAAAATCTTTAGATCTTTTTAATATTCCACTTTTATGATTCTGAGTTTTTGGGGGATTTGATTTACAGTCTCTATAATCATCAAAATCCTCAAACCTTCACGGTGTTGTATTTTTTTGAAAAATATCGCGTATTATTTTATGCCGCCTTTATATGTGGCATTACGGTAAAACATGGCCATCAGAGAAAGCAGGAAGCAGACAATCCATGTGCTGCATATGTGTTACTGATGTTGTTTAGCGCATTTAACTGTTCACAGAAAACGCGTGAAGGTATGAAACGTTTTGTTTTATGTTGTTGTAATTTGTGTCTTTTATATCGCATTATATTAATGAATAACGTAATAACTTAAATACTGCATTTAGTGTGTCTTGTCTTGCCTGTTTTACGTTGGCATAAACATTGAATAAACAAAAAGGTAGACATAGGTTTTGGCATCTTCTTGTCTGTATTGGGATTTATCATCTTTCATCATTTAATTGACTGATTTGGCTGTGGTTTTGGCTGTGAGCACGTATTAAATCAATATAGCGACTTTTATCTTCTTGTTGCGTGGTTTTCCTTTATTTTGGTATTTTGTCCTTTTAAAAATGCTTATTGACTGTTTAATAGAGTTGTATTGAATATGATAATGTTAATGTAAAGCTAACTGTGTCTAAAATACTAGTTGGCAAAGGGGTTGTTTACAATATTTCTTATTGAGAACTAATGGAGTAACCACAAGGTGGAGTTGTAAGCTGCCCTTTTCTTTTCTTTTACTCCTCACATGTTGACTTTTTGTCAGATGGACCATGGCTAGTTGATTTTTTGAGTTTGAGTTGATTATTTGATTGAGTTATGTTGGTTTTATATTCGCACATTTGTTCAGTGACAACTTGTGAAATCCTCCCTATTTTGTTTACCATGGTACTTTGAATATTCGGTCTGAAATGACATGCTAGTATGACTTCAAAACAACATCAACACTATTCAGTTGACTGTGAACATTGTTGTATTTTGATAGTCATTAGCTGCTAATATGATTCAATATTTAGAATTAGCAAAGAAAACTTTTATGAAATTATATTATTAACGAGAAAGTCTGAATGTGTGAATATAAAAGCCAATGATGATGTAATGATGTAACTGATGTAATGTCAGATGTTTGATTATTGTTGTAGTTTCCTATTTAGAGATACAATACTAACACATAAAAGAAGATATTAATTGATTCTTTAAAATTTTGTGAAATATTGATTTTATTTTGGCTACGTGGTGGTGCAGTGGCTAGCACAATCGCCTTACAGCAAGAAGGTCGCTGGTTCGAGTCTTAGCCCAGTCAGTTTTGTTGAGTTTGCAATTTGCATGTTCTCCCTGTGTTCCATGTGGGTTTCCTCTGGGTGCTCCGATTTCCCCCACAAGTCCAAAGACATGTGGTATAGGTGAATAGAGTAAATTGTCCATTGTGTATGTGTGTGAATGAGTCTTTATATATGTTTTCCAGTGATGGGTTGCAGCTGGAAGGGCATCCGCTGCATAAAACGTGCTGGATAAATTGGTGATTCATTCTGCTGTGGCGACCCCGCATTAATAAAGGGACTAAGCCGAAAAGAAAATGAATAAAATTATTTTATTATATTATATTATTATTAGTTTTTTAAATATTCTTTTTCGATTTAATTTTAATTGAGTTTATTGTGTAGTAGCATTATATTATATAATGTTTAGTGTTGTGCAAAAATGAATCCTAATTAATCGCATCCAAAATAAAAGTTTGTTTTGATACATGCATAGAAACAAAACTATACAAATCTATTTTGTTGCAGATACTTAAATGTTTATATATAATTTGTATCATATACAAATATTTTTTATATCTAAATATAAATAAGCATTTTCTCAAATATATACATGCCTGTGTATTTACATAAAAATAATAAATATACACAGTACATACACTCAAACTATATCAAACTATTATTTTGGATGCGATTAGTTGCAATTAATTTTTGCACAGCACTAATTATGTTATATTATATTATAACTTGGCATAGGAAATAATTTGAAAATGTAATTAAAAAAAATTCTTTAGGATTACTTTTGTCCATTTTTGAATAATAATCACTAATTGTTTGTTTTTTTCTGTCTTGTTGTTGCAGTACTTCACAGTGTATAATCATGATAACGCCGGCATTTGAACTCAGTCAAGATGCAGATTTCCTCATTGTAGTTATTCGTGTACCCTACACCAGAACATCAGATTTCGACATCTACATCCAAGAGGAGGAATTTAAGTTCTATGCCAAGCCCTACTTTCTCAGGTGACTCTGCAAATGCGTTGATTGACATTTTGTTACAGGAAAAAGCATTTACAAAGATTTTTACTTGCTAGGACAGAGCCCTAAAAAAGCATTTAAACGGCTTATCCACAATTAAAATGAATAATAAACTCCTTTGAAAATTATTGCAGAAACTACTCAATTTGGAACATTCTGAGATTGGTCGTAAATACACTGGTTACCATTTAAAGTGAATCAAAGCCTTTCACTAGAGTCTACTAGAGAGAAGGATCATTGCATAGGATCATTTGTTTTTAGAAGCGGCTTGGTTTTATGTTTGTTCATGTAAAACAGGGACATTTATGAATTTGACTTTTAGTTTTAGAATGCAAATTGCAAATAAATGCATAAACATGTTGTAGTGCAAATGTTAATATATTGTTATTGTTAATACTTGCTCTGAAGGTTGACTCTGCCTGGGAGAATAGTTGAAGATGGACGGGAAAAAGCTTCATTCGATATCGATAAAGGTAACAATCACTTTTTGTTACTGTTTTTCCTGCGGGTCTCTCGGAAAGCAACTGAAAACTGTTTTTATTTGCTCTTCAATACCTTTGAGCACAGACACTTGACAGTTTCTTGACCAAAAAAAAAAAAAAAACACATAAGCAAGCTTCAGCGGAAGCAGCAAAATTGTTGTAGAAATCCGTTTCTTCAAATGTTCTTCTCTAGCTTTACTCAACCTATTACTAAGCTATTTTAGAAGCAGTTATTATTAATTGAACCAGTTTTTCTCATTGTAGTTATAAAGTTGTGCTCAAAAGTTTACACACCACTTGAAGTATTTGTTAAAATGTGAAAAGTTTTAATAAAATCTGAGATGATACAAAATGGATTGAACAAATGGATGTTATTTCTGTTTAGTACCGTTCTGAGTAGGATATTTTACTTAAAAGAAGTTTACATCCAGTTCACTGGAAAACTGAAGAATGTGCTGAAGATGCAGTTGGTTTAACTGTTCAGAACAAACAAGACACTTGTGAACAACATCACAAAGCAAAAAAAGCACTCATAGATCATCAGGAAACCACACACCGTATTAAAAAGCAAGGATATGTACAGTTTTGCTAGGGGTTATTAACATTTTGTTTCTGCAAAATTCTTGTGTAGTGAGCTATAGGTAATTTTGTTTCATGTACAATATGTTACTCAGGACAGCGCTAAATTTAAAAACAATGCACATTTTGGTAAAATTATTCACTTTCTAAAAAAATATATACAGTTGTTTTCGAACGGGTTATGTAAACTTTTGAGTAAGCTGTATATATCTAAAAAAACAACAACAACAATGTGGGACGAAATAAAATGGATGTTCTTAAAAAAGTAAACCCTACCAGACGATAAAAGGTAAAGCTTACCTTTTCTTACAGTTCTTGTGGAATTAATTAATAGCTTGGTGATTAGTGTAATATATAATCAATATTGCACAAAGAAATGTTCAGTATTAGCATGACTGTGATTCCAATTACAGCCACGCTGAAATAGAGCAATACTGCACAGTCTGACAGCACAAGTGTGTAAATTAAAATGGTCTTAAATGGATAGTTCCCCCAAAACTGAAAACTCTGTGATCATTTACTCGACTTTCACTTATCTCTAACCTGTTCTGAGTTTTTTTTCTGTTGTATTTAAAAGAAGTTATTTTGAAAAATGTCAAAAAACATTTAACTATTGACTTGCATGGTATTTGTTTTTTTTAGTTTCCAGAATTTTTCTTTCGTGTTCAACAGAAAAAGAAAAACACATAAAACCTTTTGAGGGTGGGTAAATGATGAGTACATTTTCATTTTTGGGTGCTTTATCCCTTTAAAAATATTGTGTGTGAGAAATTCCTTTCTATTACTTTTGATTAAAATCTTAGGTTGACAGTTTAAGCTCAAGCCTCTAAAATTGTGGAGGCAAATGTTCAGAAAGCTTTTGTCTTTATATTTTAACTGTGTATTTGAGCTGCATTCTTGACCAAAGACTCATTAAAAATAAATGATGCTATGCAACAACAGTAGCATTTCTACATTTCTTTTTGGTTTGAAAGATTGCAGCCAGTCAGCTCATTTGTTATTATTTTACAGTTTCTACATCAAATTCAAGCTGTCAGCCTGCTCTCCTAATAGCATTAGCATTTCCAGTTGCTAAATAATGGCCATGGGATCCTGTTTCTGACATCTCCTTGGCCTCTTTTCAGCTTGTCCTCTTTGATCGACAGCCAGTGAATAATTTAGCAGTAGTCTATCATAAAAAACGTCTAATTGCTTTCAGTGTTTACACTGAGTAACGAGTAATTATAAATCTTTCACAAATCTGGAAGGACTACAGTCAACGCAATTACTGTCATTTTAACATTACACTGTTTTAATCTCCCAGTAGGGTCTAAAATTTGAGTTTTTTTTTATTGCAAGGTTGTATCAAGCACAGTAATGTGTGCAATAGAAACTCAGCTTTTTTCGTCCCCATAATTTAGCAATTTCCATTAATTCCTACTTTGCGCTAGTAAAAAAACATCAAAGACATGTATTGAATCATATTCCTTTTCATAATTTCCTGTCTTATCTTCCTCTAAAAGGTGTTAACAAGTGAAAATTAGAGAAAAGCACTAACTTTTGGCAAATAATGGGAACAATTTTTAAGACCATTGAAAGATAACTTGTAAAACAAGGGTATTTTTTGTACAAGATATATTTATTACTTTTTCAGTTTGCATATCACAACAGATTACACAGTTACAGAATATCAATCATGTAGACACAGCAAACATTTCTCACCCTATTCTCTCTCTCTCATCAACCCATTCCCAAAAAAATCATGTTTAAATCAGGTAAAGAGTATTTCTCGAGTTTGGACCATGAAACTCTCCTACTCCCTCAGAGCTTGTTCTTGTTGTAGTAGACTGCCAACATTTACATTGTACTTTAGAAGGTTAATAAAAGGTCTCCAAATATCTTCAAACACATTTTGTTTCTTTTGACAATACATGTGATCCTTTCCATTGACATATGTGGCACCATTTCATTAATCCACTTTCCAATTCTAGGTTCATTTATATTTTTCCAATTAAGAGCAAAAATACATTTAGCCTGTAAAATACACATTGCTATGAATCTGACTTCTTTGCTTTATAGGAGAGGGCTGACAGCCTATATACCCGGAATAAAAATCTTAGGATCCAATGGTAATTTCTTTGATAAAATTTGGTCATTCATTTCAATAACGCCTTTTCAAAACAAGGGTCGTTTATTATTATTTTATTATCCCTTGTGTATTGTTCAAAATGACTAGTACCTGTCGTTATGTTCGTGGCTGTTTTTGCCCCATTGACTTCTATTATAACCACTTTTTTATTGCAAAGCCATGACACCAAATGATCATACATTCTTGACTGTTGGTGGTTTTCCCTGTTGAGAAGAGATCAAATGTTTAATTTTTTCTGTTGATCATCAGCTGGCACCATGACCCCTTTAGAAAAGGTTCTGGCTTTTATATGGAGTTCTATGGAGCAAAACAGCAAATTACAGTGTGACTGCATTAATACACTTGCTATGCTTACTATGTAATGAGAGCTGAGCTGATTATTTTTCAATCATTCATTTCAGTTTCAATTTCAGAGGTCACCACAGCAGAATGAACTGCCAACTATTCCAGTATACGTTTTATACAGTGGATGCCCTTCCAGCCGCAGCCCAGTACTAGGAAACACCCGTATACACTCATTCACACACACTCGTACACTACGGCCAATTTAGTTGATTTAATTCATTTATAGCACATGTCTTTAGACTGTGGTGGAAACCCACGCAAACTCGAGGACAACATGCAAACGCCACAGAAATGCCAGCTGGAACTCGAATCAGTGACCTTCTTGAAGCGACAGTGCTAACCACTGAGTCATTATGTCGCCTTTGCTATTTTTTATTAACACACATACACACACTATACTTCATATAAAAGCCAGTAACTAAACTTTTTTTTGCTCTGTAACTAATGATCAACAGTACAAAGCGCAAATTTTACCTCATTCCAATAAGGAAAACAACCAATAATCAATAATGCGTGATTTTTTGGTGTCATGGCTTTGCAATCAATAAAGGTTGTTATAATGTAAGTCAATGGGGCAAAAACACCCTCGAGCATAATGAAACGGTAGTACATTTTCCCAGTGTATTGTTAAGATTTCGAAAAATTCCAAAACATTTTCCCAAAATATTTGTCAAATAGGGATGCAACGATTGTAGATTTTGGTTTTGCGATTATAGTCGGAGGAATATTCATAGTTATCATGATTGTTATGCATTCATTAATTTTAAAACACTACTAGTTTAGAAAATCAGATGATAACTCCTTATACTTTAAAGTGTAATTTATTGCTGCTCAGTAACTGAATAATACAGCACAAAGTATTAATAAAAACAAACAATAGTCTATTTCTCTTTGGACTTAAAATAAGTGGAAACATTTTACACTGAAAATAAATGACAGAACAATGAATACAAATAATACATTTAAATAAGAATAAATTTAAAAAATTGCATTTGTCTAATGTAAATCTAAGCATCATATTAGCTTAAGTATTTCCCTTTTAAAGACAACAAACACACTCAAAAGCTGCTGAATCTCTGTCTGAAAAGGACTTTTGATCAACTATATTACAAACTTTTTTAGTATTTTCATTTTGTATTCTCTGTTTGGGGAAGAAATGTGTATATTCTATAAAAAGCAAGAAGATAATTGGTCAGTTCTTGTCACGTGACTCACTGTGCGTTCGCAACATTCTTTCAGATAGGTGCACTTGGGAAGTGTGAACGCATCGCCCCCAATATGTGCTTCTATTTGTAATAACAAACTTGTGCATGCAAACGATACAATATGTGAGCGGCCCGTAGTTAATCGCATCAGCCATTGTTAATCCAATGTACGTACATATTAGCCTCGCTGTATAAGCTTTGTTTAGTTGCAGCAGTTTTGTTCCATGCTGACGTGCGGTGTTGAGAAGCCTTTATGATTAATTAACCATGACGAATTAAAGTGCGGTTAATAGTGAAATCAGATAATCGTTGCATCCCTAGTGTCAAATTAAGAGTGGTCACTAAAAAAACATTCCATTTGCAGAAAGTTGTGGCCAAATTAAAACTCAAAATCACCTCAGAGTAGATGAAAACATCCCCAACAGCACACAGTGGCTATCATTCATTCATTCATTCATTTTCTTGTCGGCTTAGTCCCTTTATTAATCCGGGGTCGCCGATGCGGAATGAACCGCCACCTTATCCTGCAAGTTTTTACGCAGTGGATGCCCTTCCAACAGCAACCCATCTCTGGGAACATCCACACACACATACACACACTCGTACACTACGGAAAATTTAGCCTACCCAATTCACCTATACCACATGTCTTTGGACTGTGGGGGAAACCGGAGCATGCGGAGGAAACCCACACGAACGCAGGGAGAACATGCAAACTCCACACAGAAACGCCAACTGAGCCGAGGCTCGAACCAGCGACCCAGCAATCTTCTTGCTGTGAGGCGACAGCACTACCTACTGTGCCATTGCTTCGCCCCACAGTGCTTATTGTTATTATTATTATTATTATTATTATTATTATTATTATTAATTTTAACATTTGAAATGCTTGTTAAAAAAAACGGTGACTTGAAAAATCAGCAAAACAGTATCTTTTGGCAAATAAAGGGAAATTGACAAACATCACTCATTCAAAAGTCATTAAATTTTTTATTACTATTTTCAAATTTCTTTAAAGTGCTCATGTCATAAATATAAACAAGGATATATAATTACAAGTACAAATTCAGAAATTGAGCGACTCTCTCTCTTTCTTTTTGCTACCTTCCGAGCAGACTTCATTATAACACAAACTCTCACATTTAATCAGCCGGTTGAGCTGTCAGCATCATAACGATCTCTCTTCTTTCTCTATTGTAATCCACCTTCACTTTGATTATGCTGGTGCTCTCTTTCTCTGTCTTTCGTGTGGTGCTTATCAATCTTTAATTCATGAAGAAACGGCAGAAGGAGTGCTGTGATTGTGTCTGACCGATCTGCCGTTGTCCCGACATGTCTTTTAATGAGCTGCCTATTAGCGCTTTTAATTATACCTAATGGCCACGGGATCTTCTGCTTGACATCTCATTGGCCTCGTTTCAGCTCGTCTTCTTTGATCGACAGCCAGTGAATAATTTAATAGTCGTCTGTCATAAAGCACCTCTAATTGCTTTCGGTGTTTACATAAGACATTATAAATCATTCACAAACCTCTAAAGACTACAATCAAGGAAATTACTGTCATTTTAAGGGTTATATCAGTATTTCTTTTATTTTTTTAATATGTTCTTTTGTCTTGGCTTAACAAGTAGAAACAAAGCTATAAAACTATGTCATTTCCCTGAAATAAAGGTTATGGGGCTGCTTTCATATTTCATAACATACCATAATCCTGATCAGCCCTAAACGGCAAGAGATTAACCAATGATAGATTTGTGGATTCTGAATTTTCTGGATTTTAAATAATTACAATTTTAAAATGACTTTTTTTTGGCACTACTGAAATTAGTAAAACACTTTAATGCTTTATTCCACAGAACATTTGATTTTTAATTATGTGGACCAAAAGAGTTTAACACATGCATTTAAGAATGACCCACATTTCCATCTATAACATGCATTTGGGAAATAGATGAGGTGATTTTCCATTTCATGCTGACTTTAATGTGCGTTTGTTGTGTTGTGCTTCTTTAATAACCAGTGTGCAAAAGAAAGCTGCTAGCCTAACAACCTATTTAAACAGGGTAGCGATTTAAAGGTGAAGTGGGTAATTTCTGCTCTATTAGCAATTGAATGAAACATAATTGCTGAAAGAATGAGTTTCCAAACAGGTCTATCAAACTTATATGGGAGTAGACAAACAAAGCAAAGAAATGCAAAGAAGTTAGTTAATGTTGGAGTGAGTTTTAGACAAGCACTACTCCCATTCACTTCAAAAATGTGTTGTAAGCTAATTTTGTCATCATAAAATATTTAATTATATATATATATATATATGTATGTATGTATGTATGTATGTATGTATGTATGTATGTATGTATGTATGTATGTATGTATGTATGTATGTATGTATGTATGTGTGTGAAAAAAATGAAAGGTCATCATTTATGTATAGTCTTCTGTGTCTTTAGTATCCTTTGTGACTCAATACATAAACTCAATACATAAACTCAATCTAAATGCATGTTATTGATCTTATTTTGTGTGTGTGTGTGTGTGTGTGTGTGTGTGTATGTATGTATATATATATATATATATATATATATATATATATATATATGTGTGTGTGTGTGTGTGTGTGTGTGTGTGTGTGTGTGTGTGTGTGTGTGTGTGTGTGTGTGTTCAGTCAAATATTTACATTTTTATAAACCTTGTCATTTTTAATTAAAATATTCTGGTGAACAGCACCCTTTTCTCTTATGATGTATGCTTCTCCAGTCACTTAGACAGAGGTGTTCAAAAATACTTTTGATTTGATTTCTTTTGACTTTTCTTTTACAATGCTTGTGTGGTTGAAGATGTCTGTCTGTCTGTCTGTCTGTCTGTCTGTCTGTGTGTGTGTTAAAAAACCCACCGGTCCTACTGCACCCAACCTGGTCTGAGCTAGGATCGAACCGACAATTCTTTGCCTGGGAATCTGTTGCTCTCACAAGGAGGATAAAGACCATGTTCTCTAGTGTCTGTCACTAGAGCACCTTTTGAGGCCAGAGGAGTGAGGTTTACCTGCACAGTACTTCGCTAGCTGACCTCTTTGTCTATACACATACACAGAAAAGGCCCAGACATAAACTATTTATAGACCCTCCCCTTAAATAAAGAAAGCCTGTGAAGGAAACAATAAAAAGGATCAAAAGTTGACAATAGATGTGGATTAAATCTCCAAGTATAACTGCAACATGTTTTCCTGTCTACTTATGATCTGATTGTAAAAACTGCATCTTAAACGGTATGGTTTATCTAAAAATGAAAATGCTGTCATCATTCACTCACATCCATAGTAGGTTAAACAAATTAAAAAAAAATTCCAAGATTCTTCAAAATATCTTCTTTTGTGTTTGACAAAATAAAAAACCCAGCAGGTTTGCAATAAAGTCAAGGGTAGGTAAATTATTTTAAACCAGAATAAAATGTTTGGGTGAATTATCCCTTTTAATAGCAGAAATTAACAAGGACCTCTGATTACGAAGGAAGAATTACATGGGAGTACTTTGAAAATTGTTCTGTGTATGTTTCAGGTTTATTTACACTGCACGTCCCTAAAGAGACAGCCGGACAACACTTTGAGGGTTTGGAGATGCTCACCAGCCTCCTGGCTCCAAAAGGATCCAGATCTGCCAAACCGTTGGTGGAGGACTCAGGTTTAATTCTTCACATCATTACAAAATGCTGATCATCTTCCAGCACGTTCTCGTGGCATTTTAATTTCAAGTTTCTCTCGTTCTGTATTCTCTGAACGCTCCCTGCTGGCGTTCTCTCAGAGGCCTGTGGTGAAGGATGTGAGGAGGAAGACGAAGAGTTTGACTGGCAGATCGAACAGGAGGTTTACACTGAAGCCCCAGCGGACACACTGAAGGAATACCACAAGTACGGCTTTGGAAATCTTAGGTCTGGAGTCTTCAGTAGACTGCAAGTAAGAACATTTGTCCTTGGTGATAAGGTCTTTTGAAAAAGTTTTTGATAAATAGGCTAACGTTCATTTACATTGTGCTATTCAGGAGGAGCTGAATGAGGTGATTGACATGAAGGATCCAGACAACACCAACGCTGAACTCAGAAGACGCAATCGACTAGACACAGAGACTGCAGTATTTTGTGCTGACCATTACTTGTAAGTCAGCCTTCTCTATTTCTGTATCAAATGTCATTAAATCGGTCAGTGTTTTGAAATGACATAAAAAATGTAAAACATTATTTCACTGAACATTACAGTGATCTGAATAAACTAAACTGAACTGAACTTCAACAGTGATATTTTTACTAAATGTTACAAACCCCTGATGTTATTTTAGGGGAATGGGCTTTGACATTTAATGTACAATTAAAATAAATGTATGTACAGTTGAAGTCAAAATTATTAACCCCTCTGAATTATTAGCCCCTCTGTATATATATATATATATATATATATATATATATATATATATATATATATATATATATATATATATATATATATATATATATATATATATAATTTTTTTTTTTTTTTTTTTTTTAACACATTTCTAAACATAATAGTTTTAATAACTCATTTCTACTAACTGATTTATTTTATCTTTGGCATGATAATAGTAAATAATATTTGACTAGATATTTTTCAAGACACTTCAATACAGCTCAAAATGACATTTAAAAGCTTAACTAGTTTAATAAGGTTACCTAGGCATGTTAGGGAATTAGGCAAGTTATTGTATAACAGTGGTTTGTTTTGTAGACTATCAAAAAATCAATATAGCTTAAAAGAGCTAATAATTTTGACCTTAAAATGTTTTTAAAAAAAATAATAACTGCTTTTATTTTAGCCGAAATAAAACAAATAAGACTTTCTCCAGAAGAAAAATATTATCAGACATACTATGAAAATTTCCTGGCTCTGTTAAACATCATTTGGACAGTTTTTTAAAAAGAAAATAAATTTTAAAGGGGACTAATAATTCTGACTTTAACTGTATATACAGTGAGTGACGTGCAAAAGAAAACTAAAGCAGATATACCAAAACTGTGACTTGTTTCAAAACAATGAATTAATCAAAAATACAGAAAAAAGTAGCTAATGCAAAAAACAAAACTTAAAATATTTACAATATATACATTACTGGGACAAGCAAAAAGACAGGGAAAACAAGAGAGCTAGCAGAAGGGACATGGGCAGTGCTAAAGAAAAGAAAAGAACAAAACCTAAACAATATCTATCTCCCCAGAAGCATCTAACTAAATATATGAAACAAAATAATATACACGCAAAGAGTCTTCTGAACTATCCTGCTATCCTACATAATGTACAAAACATAAGAGTAGTTCTATAAGTTGCAAAATGTATGTCACGTGACCTGCTTACCTGTCCGCTTCGTCCAAGTCTCGTTAAAGATATGTTAATGCAATGGAATAAACACAGCAACAGAAACAAGGGACTGGTGAGTGGTCTGGCACAGGCTGTTATGCTGGGTGGTCTTGACCTATTAGATATGACATCAGAGTGACATCAGCAGGAAGGAAATGATTGACGGATGGATTAACCAATGAACAGAACCTGAGAATATGGAACAGATATGGGAGAACAGAGCGAGAGAGAGAGGCGGAAATACAAACAACACAAACACGTAACACTAAACTGAAATGAATCTGTTTTAATGCAACTAAAATAAGGCTGCATGATATTCGGGAAAAAATGACATCGCGATTTATTTATTTTTTGCAATATACATTGCGATTATAAATACAATTCCACCAGATGACTTAAATAGCTCTATTCTGTAAGAAATTAGTTTTGATATGAATGTTATTGATGGAATAGCATACAATAATATATAATAAATAAATTACATGTGAAGATAAAAACAATAGTGCAAAGATGCAGATGATTTATCGTAGATAGTTCACTGTAATATTAATTAAGGCAAGTGCAATTAACTAAACTTCAGTTTTGATTTTGGCCTCCATAATTATGAAAAACAATAATCGGGATAAAACTTGCGTCACACACCTCTCTAAATTTCTCTAAATTCATACCTCCTCAAGCCAGACTGCAGTAAAATCATGTAAATTGACTTTTGCAGCATGGAATGAGATTGTTATTTGTATTGTTAAGTGTTTATTTTATACTATAAAGTACTTTAGGCATGTTTTAAAAGTGCAAAACAGAATTTGTGTAGTTCAATGCATGCGCTCTTAGGTTGTATGTCCCCACCAATGTTAAGAGCGAATTTACAACCTTGATTATGGATAAACTTTGCAATAACTCCACAAATTATATGTTCTGAATTGTTATGCCTAATAGTCTACAAATCCTGACTGAACATTGCAGATCCTGTGATGTGACAATTGCGGATGCTAACATTGTGATATCAAAGCCAAAAGAATATATTGTGCAGCCCTAAACTAGAACTACACCATTCTACACTACTCTCCTGCTTGTCTGACTTGAAATAGTGGAATGTTCCACAATTAAATTATTATGGGCTTTACAATCTACAATGTAAAAAGTACTATAGAAATAAAGATGACTTGAATTGAACATCCCAAAAACAAAAAAATAGAAACGTATCCATAACATTATGTCTTGTTTGTTTTGTGAGTATTTTTATTTGACTGATGAGTCTGTTTGGTTGACGCAGAGTAAACTTGTATGAGGACAAGGAGGAGATCAGAAACCTGCTAAAGTTTAAACCATGGTGGAGAAAACTGAACCCGGATCCTTCAGCAGGCTACGACATCTGTGAGACCTTTACCTTGTCACATTTTCTTTCTTTAGCACGTAATGTTAAACTGCCTAAAATGTATTTAAACATTCTGTGCATAATCACCGCTTTGTCCTGTGTGTTTCTCTCTGTGGGTCTGGATGGAAAATTGGGTCGGGTTGAGTTGAGGTCGCCAAGTTTACAATGAGACCTGGAGCATTTCCAGAAGCGAAGTTTCTAGATTCTGTCAGCAGGTGGCGCGCCTTTGCCGGAAACCGATCATCTCGTCAGGCAGATAGAAACAGCGTCGTGTTCTCACGTAGCAGGATATTTTAAGCAATTTGGCGCCTTGAGATGTTTTAACACTCATTCTTTTACTTTTTGGATGATTTATATGTGTTTTGTCGATGTTTTATAACTGCTGAGTCACATTGGTGAGGCTGTATGTGAGTCAGATTTAGTTTAGTGAGCGAGGTGCAAACAACCTCTCTCAGCCCACTTTTGTGATACAGAGCTTCTTTCTTTCTTTCTTTCTTTCTTTCTTTCTTTCTTTCTTTCTTTCTTTCTTTCTTTCTTTCTTTCCTCTTAATTCTTTGCATTCTATCTCTGTCTAGGTCTGTCTGTCTCTGCCTGCCTGCCTGTCTTTTTATCTATATATCTATCTGTCTGTCTGTCTGTCTGTCCATCCATCGTCTTTCTATCTGCCAGCTTACCTGCCATCTATCTATCTATCTATCTATCTATCTATCTATCTATCTATCTATCTATCTATCTATCTATCTATCTATCTATCTATCTATCTATCTATCTATCTATCTATCTATCTATCTATCTTTCTGTCTGTCTTGTTAGTTTTAGCTATCCATTATTTGTTGTTTTATCAACCATATCAATAACAATATAGTCATATATACACTTAACAATTTAGTCATTCTAAATATAGTTTAACTCTCTCTTTGCATCGTTTGTACAAAGCCTAGTCTAGAATTTTGAAAGCTGCAATGATTATTGAAGTGTGATAAAGTGGCACAGACATATACAGCGGGGACGGCCGGGAGCCACGTTCTTTATCACTGGAGCAGAGTGCTAATTCCTCAGTGCCCGATTACAGAATGAGGAAATTACTCTGAGCTGCTAGCATATGTTGATGCAGAGGCAAAGAGGGGGGGTGGGTTACACATCTGGTCCCATCACAGATGAGGGAGAAGGATTAAACAGCACCGGAGGTATATATAAAGATTGATTGACAGCAGAGACATTTTGAAACACATATCAATCAAGTAATAATGTAAAGCTACTTAGCAGGCACATTATTCGTCATGCTCCTCAGTATGCTGGGTGCATGGGGTAGATAAATTAATGCTAATTGCTTGGACAGATAGTTCTGAACATCTTGACTGAAGTGCACACAAATCAATGCCAAAATAGCTCGACCATGCTGTTTTCTAAGGCTTTTCTTTCCTGACTGGATATGGCTCATTAAGCCATTAAAGTTAATTAGGCTCCTTTCTCTTTGGGTATTAGGATGAGCTTGTTTGTTTTTATTATAGTTTACCTGTCATTAGTTATGAGAAACCGGTAAGGCTTAATTACTTTGTAAGTGAGATTTTAGGTAGATTCTCACACAACCTGCCAATAACATGTCTTGGTCTTATATTTACAAGTCAAATTGTAATATTGTTTTATTAAATTGTGTAAACTCCCTTTCTCCTAAAAAGAAAGAGTTTGTTATTCACAATTCTGCCTGTATTTGGCCGTTATAAGTGACCAGAGTTTGCAGAGAAAGTTATCCTCCTTTTTTTCGGCACTGGAGTCACATGATTAATGACTGGTCAATACAGAAGAAACCCATACATTTGTATATGCACAGTTTTTAACATCAAGGAAATTTAAAGGCAGAATATATAAGGGTTTTTTCATTAAAGGGAACCTATGATAAAAATCATCTTTTGTAAGCTGTTTGGACAGTTCTGTGTGTGGTTATGGTGAGTCCACAGTCATATTGGGGTGATATAAACCTAGTACGTCTCTGTTTTTTATATCCTGATGTTAAAATAGGATCTAAAATCCCCACAAATGTGATTTTTTTCGATTTTGAGTCCTGTAGGATCTAATGACGACCACAACTCCTGTGATTCTACACTTAGTCATGGCCTCTAGCAGCAAAAATTACATATTGTGCCTTTAAGGGCAACTTTCAAATCAATGTATATTAGTTTGCACAGTTTGCTTTGCACAATTAGTTGCACAGTTTGCTATGTACATAAAAAGATACCACAGATATATATCCTTAATTTGGGACCATACAATCAAATTACACATTGCATTTTTCTTCAAATTCTACCAACTTCCAAATGCATAAAAATGTCAAAAGTACTGATCACAATTATTATGCTCCACACAGTATAATTAATCATGTAAGGACATGAATTTAACTGAGTTGAAGGCAATTTTTAATTGTTAAATTTGCACATTCAGTTTGTTGTTTAATAACTACCACTATACCGTACAGGCACAGGACATCAACATTACGCCATAGTAACGTACCCCAATGTCGTGGGGCATTGGATTTTATTTGGAAATAAAAATCAGGTTGATTTCAGAAAACCAACATCAGGTCAACGTCCAATGTCCAACCTAAAATCAACCAAATATCAAAGTCTAATTGTGTTACACCTTGACGTTGTGTGGACGTTCTTACTATAACATCTTTTGGCCAGCGGAGAAATTAAAATGGTAATGCCGAATTGAGTCTGGTTCTCTCAAGGTTTTTTTTTCTTCACTCTCCTATTGGTGAAGTTTTTTTTTCCCTCTCCGCTGTCGCCACTGGCTTGCATGGTTCAGGATCTGAAAAGTACTCATCGATGAATTTGCTCTTCAGTGTTTGGACTCTCAATAATGACTTCAAACCACACTGAACTGAGCTAAACTGAACTGAACTTAAACACTAAAAACTGAACTACCCTGATACAGGTTCTATGACCATTTATGTGAAGCTGCTTTGACACAATCTACATTGTAAAAGAGCTATACAAATAAAGCTGAATTGAATTGAACTGAATTATAACATCCATCAGACGTTTGGTCATTTTCCAACAAAACCTAAAATCAACCAAATATAAACTTAATTTGACATCGTTATTAGACATCAAAATAATGTCTTTAGAAGCTGGCTAGGCATTGAATTTTGGTCATCTAATGTCATGACCTAAATCTAACCTAATATTGACGTCTTATGATGTTCTGTGCCTTGTGTACACCCCCACACCCCCTGGAATTCCCTCTGTAGCCTCTCAAAATAAATAGGTGCACTTGTGGTTGCTGGAAGAAAGAAACTCGCACCCATTCATGATCTTGACATTGTATGCAGTGCACAGATTTTTGAAATAGACTTCACCAAAGACTTCAGTCTCTCTTGTTTCATTATAAGAAGCTTTCCTGCATGGAGATCACACCATGTTGTGGTAAATCCAAATTTCTGCTTCTTTCCTATCTACCATATCTTTATTTTTGTGTGTGCACTCATGCGGTGGTGCACTTGCTTTCCCATGTGTATCGGGTATCTTCACACTCTGAGTCCCAGTGGAGATGACAGCCTCACCGTATGTGTTTATGCATGTATGCGCTTCATTATTCCACTCCCCCATCTCACTCCAATAGCTGTTTGTGTTCTGTGGTCTGGGCACCTGTGTGGTGTCAGATGTTGTTATTGCATTTTTTGCCAGAGAATGAATGACAGCATTCAAAAAAAGAAGGCAAACACGTCCTGTGTCCAATAATTTGAGCTTTGGAAATGTGTCAAGTAATCTCAAATAAAACAAATTCATTATTGATGCCTATAAACTGTGAGAACGTCTGTAGATGAAGTTACTTTAGGAAATCTAGATGTAGTTATGAGTTAATTGAACAAAATCAGTAAAGTTAAGTCACGGTAATCCATTTTTATTTTGAAGTAGAGACAAGCTGTCATAACCTTTTGTTGGTCTTGGTGGAGCTCAAGATTTATTTAAAATGTCCCAGCACCTATTTTTGATGAAACAAAACTGCATGGTGGCCGATGATGGTGCTGTTTTCCTATATCTCTTTGCTGTCTAAGTCTTAATAGCTTTGTGTGAAGAACAAGCCAATTCATTGACACTGACATATGTTCAAATCTGGCTGCTTCACAATACATGAGAACTCCTTTGTTTTCGTACAGCTGGAAATGCAATTCACTCGGCACCATGGAAGAAAAATGAGGAGGAGGTGAAGAAAATGCACACTTAATTGGTTCTCTTGTGTATTGTCTGTAGGCTAGCTTTGAAATAAGGCAAGATTTTTAGTTACGCATACACTAGTATTAGGAGAATCATTGAAGACTTTTATTTCATATTAGAACACTATTGTTGTTATTTATGTAAAAGCAGCCCTGTTGGGGATATATATATATAATAAATCAGTGTCTCTTAACCATGTTCCTGAAAGACCACCAGTTCTGCACATTTTCCATGACTGTTTTTCATTCCAAGAACGCAGAGAACCGATTTGTATGGAGTCAATCTAGGGCTATATATACTTGACAAATAAAAAAAGTTTTGCAAACAAAAAATAAAGTAATGAGCAAAAATTTAATGCAATCTCCAAAAATCGCAAAGCAAAAATATTTTTTGAGCAATAAAAATTAAATTTGCTACTAAAAAAAGAACTGCAAATAAACATCAAACAGTACAGAAAAACTAAAATATCTGCCAAAAAAAAAAAAAAAACACCTTGATGATACTTTGTCTCCAGCTGATGATGTTGCTTAAGTGAAAGCAACGTAAAGTGCAAAGAGAAAACAGCATCGCAAACTCACGATTGACTAAAAGCTAATCAAAATGAGCATCGCAATTGACTTAATGGTTTTTGTAAAAATTTGTAAACAAATTTGAATACGAATTTCAACAAATAAACACCCTTAATTTGTTTATACCTTTTATTAAGATTTTTTATGGTAATGTTTACTTTCACTGGTGCATTTAGGGAAACTCTTGAGATAAATAAGATATATCTCTGAACTTTAATATTAAATCTATATGAAATGCTGTGCTTCCCACCTCGCAATGACTTCTGGGGCATCTAGAGCGAGTTCAGTGCTCAAATCTGCATCGACGCATCCTCGATACCAAGAACACATCCGGGAATGTCTTGCGTTCTTGAGTTTTGAAACTAAACTTTGATGGTTAAAGATGATGTCACATGAGGACGCAATATTGCTGAAGAACGCATATTGAGAAACGGCCCATGTGTCCTTAACCAAACACATCTGATTCAGATCAGCTCAATAGCAGAGACTCAGAGAGTTGTAATGACTGTGACAAAGCATGCAGCGTTGGTGATCCTCTTAGAACGTGGTTGAGAAACAGTGCATTAAATGATGTCACCTAATTTTGAGTTATGTCATTTTTTTTTATTTTTCGAATGGGTTTTAATGTTATTCATTTGACATTTTAAGTCATCATCATTTTTATGACTTATTTATTTACTTATTTATGTGGAGAAAATAGGTTTTCATGCCATATTCCAAATTGGCTCACCTTTCATTGCATATCAAGATGTGTAGATGTATTTGATTTCAGACTTATTTTGGAGCATGTTTTTGGAGAATATGCAAACTCCACACAGAAATGCCAACTGACCCAGCCGGGGCTCGAACCAGCGACCTTCTTGCTAGATTATGTACAACTAATATCAGTGAGTAATGCATTTAGATTAAACTTAAATCTGTCAGATGATTTGAGATTGCTTGGAATGCACAGGCTTATTTTATTTATTTTTAGCTACATCTATCCACCTGTGGTGTTTTCTTTGGCATGGATTTTCACAACCCCTGGTCACCTTTTACTTGTAATGTTTTGAATAGAGCAGCATGATCTTACACGTTTGGAATGAAGGTGATTTGTGCAGTGTTAAGAGTTCAGTTACACACACACACACACATACACACATACACACACACACACACATACACACACACACACACACACACACACACACACACACACACACACACACACACACACACACACACACAAAGCTGCCAGTGAGTATTTACAGACAGACATGGTGTAATATAAAGAGAAGACTAGAGCAGGGGTGGAGCTGAACTCCCTCCTGAGCTCCTGGTTTTGGTCTCCCAAGAGTCTGTGTTTCCTGCCAGGCAAAGGCAGCTGTGTTAGAGGGTAAATCAGGTAGAGGAGGAAAATGGTGGAGCTGTTTAGTCGTCATGTCGCTGGAATTCAGCAGCTCCCAACAGAGCCAGAAGTCGACCTCTGCCAGCACTAGCTTTAAGTCTGTGTGTGTGTGTGTGTATGGACATGCAAGCATGCACACGAGGGCCTCTATCAGGGGCAGGGCTGCAGCCAAGCAGGGGATCACTTTCAGCTGCTACTAAAGTGCTGACTTGCCCTTTTCTTCCTCTCTCTCGCTGCCCTGCCTTCAACTCCTTCCTCCCTGGTGCAGTATCAAGTCAGTTTAGGGCATCAATCAAGCTCTGTAACTAAGCTCTTCCCGTGCAGTAACTTTACTATGCTTCAAAAGCCTCGCCTCCGACTCTGATTTAAAAATAATTGTGGGGAACATGCTTTTGTTTCTTAAATCTCTCAGAGGAGCAGAGGCATCCATCATTCCCTTGCTGGAGCACTGCCATTAAACTTGTTTTTCAGGGTGAATTTGTCAGATATCGGCTTTGACTGTATCTCCCTGAGATAACTTGATGAACAACAATGAATGTCTCTCTTTCTCTGTCTCTTTACCTCCAGCTATGACTTTCACAGAAGAGGAAAGGGAGCAGATGAGGAGATTCACAAACCGCTCGTACTTGCTGGATAAGAAAGCGCGCTTTCATGTCTGGTTGGGTTTGGTGGACATCATCTTGGCGTACGTCTATGATGTGCGCACTACAGAGGGAGAGCACAATGTAAGTGCACCTTTGAATGCCACAGACATCTCTCTGCGAGTAAGTGGGTTTGGCGTGCCCAAGTTGGCATTTTCACATGCAACAAAGCTCCAGGAAGTTAATACATTCCTGTAATGTTTTCCAGACAGTCGCAAGAATCTTTTTGGTGTGTGATGCACATGGCTGTAATTGTATGGAAAATATGAAAACCGTTGTTCTGTTTTAAAACGCGGCTTCTGAATCTGAAGTGATCAAATGTTGCAAGGGCGTCGGTTGTGAAGGGGTCTGTTGGATCGGCTCCCAAACTTTCGACATATGTTAGAAGTGCACTGGAAATCTGGGCTTTGATTCAATAAAAATAGCTAGAAAACATATCAGACCTTCTTAAAACATTCTCTTGTCTAAAGTGATACATTCAGCTATGGAGCTGTGGCTTACTGGTTAGCGCTAGGGATCACTGAAGCATGGTGCTTGTGTGATTGACTACAGTTTTTAATCCAGTGTCGTTTCCTGTCAGTGTAATTTTTTTTAACCCGATTGACTAAATTAAAAGGTAACACTTTATTCTGATGGTCCATTTGAGTATCAGTAGAATGTTTGCTTAATATCTGCTTATACTGCTCCTTTAAAACACATTTAACTGGCTATAAGAAACCTTGCAAGTACATGTCAACTTACACTAACCCCAACAGTCTACTTAAAATGTAATGGGAATGTTTTGCAATGCAACTAAAATTCAACAAACGGACCATCAAAATAAAGTGTGACCAATGAAAAAGTACATAGGGTCAAATAAAACACAATAGTTTTTTTTTTTTTTAATTTTTTATCACTGACACTGTTGTGATTTGCAGGTAGAGTCAGCATGGACCATCAGGAAGCTCAGTGGGACTCTCAGCTGGCTGGAGGTATGTTCCTTAATTAGCACATCAAAACATCATGGAATGTAAAAACAGGCGAATGGGAAGGATGATTTAAAGTTATAATTTACCCTTAAATGAAAATTTACACTGCATTCTAGTCTAAAAAACTATTTACTCTCCCTCAAGTGGTTCCAGACCTGGGTTTAAGGGCCTACATATACTCATCAGCCAATTTATTACATTTGCCTGTTTAACTGCTCGGTCATGCATATAACTATATGCATATATAAAGCTATATATAGTTTAGCTATATATAAAGTCTGTATAATCTGTTGAAGGTTCAGACTGAGCATCAGAATGGGGAAACAATATGATTTAAAGGGATCATTTACCCAAAAATAAAAGTTTACTGTCAGTTCTACTCTAAAAAAAAACAATTTACTCTCCTTCAAACCTGAGTTTCTTCTTTTGTTGAACACTAAAGAAGATTTTGAAGAACGCTGATAACCTGTAAGCATTGACTTCCATAGTATTTATTGTTCCCACTGGAAGTCATTGTTTAAGCCTTCTTCAGGATATGTTATTTTTTGTTCAACAGAAGTCAAACAGATGTGAACAGATAAAGCATGTAAATGATGACAGAATTTTCATTTTTGGGTGAACTATTCCTTTAAGGTGTGCTAGTCTGCGAATTTCAGAAATTGTTGATCTGGGATTTTCACACACAGCCATCTTAATGTCAGAGGTCATAGGAGTATGGACAGACCGGTCAAGCTGATCGAAAATCAAAATGAAAGCAAATAACCACTTACAACCAAGGTGCAGAGGAGCATCTCTGAAAACACAACAAACCTTAAAGCATATGAGCTACAGCAGCAGAAGAGCTTACAACTGCCACTCTTGTCAGCTTAAAACAGCAATACTATAATTGGCTATAATTACCTGAGCTCAAAAAATTTGACAATAGAAGACTGGAAAAGGGTTGCTTGATCTCATGAGTCTCAATTACTGCTTTTAAATTATAGGGTCAGAATGTGGTGTAAACAACCTGAAAGTGTGTATCCACTTTACATCCTCCTTTTATCAGTGTTCGCACTGGTAGTGTAATGGTGTGGGGGAGATTTTCTTGGCAGACATTGGCTCCCTTACTACCAATTAAGCAATAGCATTGCTTTTAGCCATGACCATAGTGTACTTTCAAAAGGATAATGCACCGTGACACATCTCAAACTGGTTTCTTGAACATGACTTCACAGTCACCAGATCTTAATCCATTAGAGCGCTTTGGCATGTAGTGGAATGGAAGATTTGGATGTGCTGCCAACAAATCTGCATCAACTGTATAATGCTGTAATGTAAGGACCACTTGGCAAAAAGGGGGTAACCAACCAGGTAATAGCAATGTGTACCTAATAAAGTGGCTAGTGAGTGTCAGTATAGACTCTGGCTTTGTTTGCATGCACTGTTTTTCAGATCCGATCTGTAGAACTGATTGCCTGCACTGCTATTCAGCAAGTAATTAAATCTGATCTGTTTGTTCAAACAGTGCAGTCAATATCCGTTGTATCTACTTCAGTTGCTATAGTAATGTTGTAAGCATCAGCACAATGCCGGGAGATTTTCTCATACTACAAGCAAGAGTAGCTCTCAGAGTCTAAAGAAAGGTCAAAAATATGTACATTTCTGCCTTGTGTCCATCATGCTGAACTCGAGGCGTAAGAGCGACAGATGTTGCACATTCACAGAGATATCGTTGACTTATTTCCCGTTCAATATTTTCCACATGGTGAATGTCAGTGTTTGCTATATAAAACACATGCCTTGAATTTCAAGCCACACCACCCAGAATTCATACATTTCGACTCATTTAATCTAGATGTAAGGGCGATGTTCAATATATTCTGATAATGCACGTATGCAATATTAATAATTCAATATCGATGAATGCTCTTCAAAATACTGTGAAAATTTACTTTTAGGGTGCTTTAAGAATTCTTATTGTTTTTGCAGTGGTGTTCATAGCAGCGGCAGATGATTGGAAACTTTTTTGTTATTGGTTAGCTTAATAGTCTAAACATTAGCATATTCATCTGGCCTACTTCATGCTGAAATATTGATTGAAGATGTTCTGAATATTCATAGGGCTAGGGTGACACAGTGGCTCAGTGGTTAGCACTCTTGCCTCCCAGCAAGAAGTTTGCTGGTTCAAGCCCTGGCTGGGCCAGTTGGCATTTCTGTGTGGAGTTTGCATGCTCTCCCCTTGTGTGCGTGGGTTTCCTCCTGGTGCTCCGGTTTTCCCCACAGTGCAAAGACATGCAGGATAGGTGAATCGAATAAACTAAATTGGCCGTAGTGTATGTCTGTGTATGAGTGTGTATGGATGTTTTCCAGTACTGGGTTGCAGCTGGAAGGGTATCCGCTGTGTAAAACGTGCTGGATAAGTTGCCGTTTTATTCCGCTTTGGCGACTCCTGATGAATAAAAGGAGTAAGCCGAAAGAAAATGAATGAATGAATGAATTCATAGGGCTATGATTTGTTAAAAACGACAAAGCTTTTAATCATTTTAGATATTAGTAATCTCCTAATAATGCATTAAAATTGTAGCCGGGGTTTGATTACAAATCATAATTATTTTAATAAATGGAGTTAATAACTAATCGAATTTAGTTTTATTTTTAACTAATATTAACATAATTACTGTAATGAATCTGGCTTTTCCTCACTGTTGATTTTAATCTAAATTTTAACTAAAATTTGTACTTGCAGTGGTGTTCATAGCAGTGCCAGAGGATTGAAGGCTTAATTAGCTTAACACACTCTAAAAAAATGCAGGGTTTCACACTATTCTTTAGGTTGTCCTTACACAAATTAAGTTAACATAGTTGTTTTTACTAATTTAAATGGATTGAGCGTAAAACATTTAAGTTTTGCCAAAAAAATTAAGAATTGTGTTGTTTCAACACATTTTAAATAAGTAGTTTGACCAAGCAACACAAGTCTTTTTTAGTGTAGTTTAAACATTAACAGATTTATCTGACCTATTTCATGCTGAAATATTGGTTTAAAATGTTGTGTGTATATTTATAAGGCTATGATTTATTAACAACTGTGCAATAACTAGGGTATCCGCGAGGTCTTAACATGTCTTAAAATGTCTTAAATCTCAAAAGCTAAATTTTAGGCCTTAATTGCTAAATGCTGAAATATTGTGTTGTAGGTCTTTAAATTGTCTTTTACAGGTCTTAATTTTGCCTTTAACATCCATAAAATCACCAACAATTTTTTATTTTTTTAAATAGCTTTTTTTATTATTATTTTTTTTTTTAGGGGTTTTCATTTTTATTGTGATAGGACAGTAGAGAATTGACAGGAAAGCATGGGGAGCAGAGAGAGAGGGGAAGGAGTGGCATAAGACCGCAAGGCGGAATCAAACTCAGGTCGCCGCAAGCACCGGAGTGCATGTGTCGACGCACTAACCACTACACCACTGGCACCGACATTTAAAAATAGCATTTAATTACTTTCCTTACAGTAACATTTGTTTAAAAGTTCTCCATTTATTTAATGCTGAAGATACTGGCCTGACGTAGATTTAGTTTTATTGTTAAATTATTATTATTGTATTATTAAATGTTTTAAATTATGATAATTTTTGATAGGGTAAGTGACTTTTTTTTTTCAAATAGGATATTCAAATAAAGTTTTAAGCATTTAGCCTTATACAACTCTAAAATTTCATTCATAATGGTCTTAAAAAGGAATTAAAAATCTTAACTTTAACTTCGTGAGACCTGCAGAAACCCTGAATAACGCACAAATAGTTGACATTTTTTAATGTAACTAAAGTCCTATTGAAAATTTTAAAGCTTTTTATAATTTTAGATGATGTAAATTTCTTAGTTAATGCCCACTAATGTGTTAAACTTGTAGTCATGATTTGATTACAAGTCTTGTTCATTCTAATAATTGAAATTTATAATCAATAAAATTCTGTTGTTAAGTATTACCGATTGTACTTTATAATGCTTTTGCAATTTAGTTTGAAATATTAGTGTTCTCTGAATGTGTATATACAATAAAACAATTCACAAAGTTTTTTTTGTTATAATAACCATTAAAGTATTCTTTTTTGCAGCTAAAGTCAATGTTGTGATAATATCGTATGTCTTGATAAAAGTTTAGCAATTAAAAGAAAATTTGATGCCAGCAGAAGCTTTATTCAATCACAATATTAAAAACAAGAAATTATTTTAAAATATGTTTGTATGAGGCAGCCTGGTGGCGCAGTGGGTAGTGCTGGTCGCTGGTTCAAGCCTCGGCTGGGTCAGTTGGCATTTCTGTGTGGAGTTTGCGTGGGTTTCCTTTGGGTGCTCTGGTTTCCCCCACAAGTCCAAAGACGTGCTATAGCTGCATTGGGTGAGCTAAATTGTCCATTGTGAGTGTGTGTGTGTGTGTGTGTGTGTGTGTGTGTGTGTGTGTGTGTGTGTGTGTGTTTGGGTGTTTCTTAGTGATGGGTTGCAGCTGTAAGGGCATCCGCTGCGTAAAACACATGCTGGATAAGTTGGCGGTTCATTCCGCTGTGGTGATCCCACATTAATTAAGCGACTAAGCCAAAAAGAAAATGAATGAATGAATATGTTTTCATAAGTGATCATTGGTGGCTCTTCGGAGTTCTCGATTACTCTTACTGATCACTACTTTGCATACATTTGCATGTGTGTATAGTGAAATGTAGCAGACAAATATTTACATTTTATCATCCTGCGCCAAAGCTGATGCCAAAGCCTGGGTCAAATCCAACCTTAAACTTCTTATGTGTGGTTTGTAGAGCCCCAGACCTTGTGTGTATCTGTGTGTGTGTATCTGTGTATGTGTATCCTGACTCCTGGGCCGGCAGCAGTCCCTAATCCTGCACATTTCCACGGCGAGTGTGACAATGAGGACCAGTAACCCGATGCCTCTCCCAGCTCAGAGCGCTGAGAGCCAGCACTACACTGCAATACTGATAATGGACGGGTGGTAATGACATCCTCCAACTGCCTGC